GTGCTCTTCCGATCTTATATATATATATGGATTTGTATGGACATATTTCATATATAATTATATATTTTTATATGTTTATATATATCTATATATGTTCTTGTATAAAAAATTTTTTGCCGGGTTATAGGATAGATACAATCAAGTATGTATAGTACATTTATGATCCGAACTGCAGTAAAAAATAAAAAAAAACCGATAGAATATAAACGTGCGTGCAATGAAGACAACCATCTCAGTCGTAACAACTTTGCAGAATAAAATGTTTTATTTTTTGAGGTTGACCAACAATGGTTTGAACGGTCAGAAAACAAGCGAGAGGGCAAAAAATTAGAGAGAGACGCTTGCAAACTAAGCCCACCATGCTATCCCTTCCACCATGGCTGAAACCCATGTGTAATCTTTCCACCATGCTGAAACCAGACATTAGACTGCATTAGACAAACCAGTTCATCGTCGGTCACAGTAAATCGCGAGCATGTCCGCCGTGGTGAAAGGGATAGCACTCACCATGATATCCGGTCTCAGGATCCTTTCTGCCGCGATAACGCGTATTGCGCACGTGATGGGAATTTGGCACGAGATGAAGAAGCGAATCGTGATATTCGGCGGCACCGGCGACACCGGCCTCTGCTCTCTGAGAACCGCCGTGGAAAAGGGTAACTCGTGTCCCGATTGTTCGCGCGATTGCCGCTCTCATTACGCGTCTTTCTCGAAAATTATCGCCGACGATAAACCAGCGATTCTTCTTTTCTTCTTCTTTTCCTTTGTGGGACCTGCACCAGAGAGAAGCATGCTCTCTCTGCCTACACCCGCGGTATGATAGGGCCCAATTTCCTAACAGCACGATGAGATTCTAAGTCGTAGTCACCAAACGGTACGATGAGATTCTAAGTCGTAGTGAGATGCTAGTCAATACCGCGAAGATTTTAGAAGATTCCAGAATCACTCGGCCATGGACGTCCACCTCAGCCCGTAGCTCACGGTTGAATCCCATAAACCGGCGATGAATGCAACGTTCTTTGCAGCTGGACCGCGTTGCACTTTCCGCATCTTGAAACGAGGTGGATGTATAATATTGGACTTTAGTTAGAAAAGAAAGGAGGATGGAAGGTACGAAAACTTCAGCTGCAAAGAACGAATCTATAGCCAAGTTTTCGAGAAAAAGCTCCTTATTTTGTCCCTCCAGATGACAATTTGCACAGAGAGATCTGTAATTGTTGATAATTTAGAATATATAATTATGAGTCATATTAATTTTCAAATTAAACGATAATCTGTGAAATCAATAATTATCGATTTATTTTGCACAATGAATTATATATATTTATTAACTGTGCAATGTAATAATAAAATCTATCTTTTATCTTTTACTTTAGTACAAGTTTACTATGGCAAAAATATAAAGCAAGATGAGGACTAAAATGCTTATCTGTTCAATGTAATGTAACTGCAGATTAAAAATCAGAGTCACTAAAATATAATCATAATGTAATTAAATCTAATTCCCTTTACGTTAAAATGTATTCGTAAATTATTGTGTATATTGATTTTATAATTTTTGTGTACATGACATGTTAACGTTTCATCTTCAACATTCAAGTCAAATATACTGATGATTTTTAATTCGCTATCATTTAGGTTTGGAGGTGAGAGCTTTTGTAAGAGACAAAGCCGAGATTCCTGAGGATCTTAGTAACAAAGTCGAAGCAATTGTTGGAGATGTCACTAATGCGAAGGAGGTTGCAGATGCGATAGCTGGTACAGATTTCGTCGTGGTAGTACGCAATACCAGGACTGACGTGGGTAAGCAGTATATGTATATTTTTTTTCTAATATTTATATGAACATGTATTATACATCTCTCGTTGTTCTACTTAACGATATGTTGCACTTATTCGTTTTATGTTACTTTAAGCCCCTACTAACATGCTACCTCAAGGCATGAAGAACATAGTGGATGCCATGAAAGCGCATAGTGTCAAGCTGATCTCCGTGTGCATAAAAGGTATTATATCATACTATAAAAAAAAAAATAAAGATCGAATATCTGCCAATTGTTATAATAGAAACATAATATTATTGCGCATAATTTTGCAAAATTGCTCAAAAAAAGAATATTCCTTTGACTTTTTTCTAACACATTTGAGGAACTTCTCGCATCTAAATGTCTAAATTCAACTTTACTATAAAGTATGTGCAATACTTTTTGCTAACTAACGTCTGTCATTGCTTAAATTTTCAGCATATCTATTCTACAAATGTAAAATACCACGTAATCAATTGCAAGAAATTAATTCGGACATAGATCATCTGGAAATGTTAGAAATAATCAAATCGAGTGGCTTAAAATGGGTGGTGATAATGCCAATGCACATTGCAGGTAACGCCTAGACAATGAGAGATGACGAAGCATGATATGTCTCGAGAAAATGTCTCGTAGATTTTAATTTTTCTCTTCCAGACAGACCAAAGTCCGAGTATAAAATCGTATTCGAGTCTGGGCCAGTTCCATCAAATTATATCTCCAAACACGACCTTGGTGCGAGTCTCGTCGAATGTCTCGAGGATCCAAAATATTACGAAAAGGTCTGCACCATCGGGAACGTTTTATGATGTGGAATGTAGGGATGTATAAATAATAAGATGCATGTATTTCTATTTCTAAAATAAACATGGTGGAAAAATAAATATGTATATATTTTATCTAAATATCGTTATCACGTTCGACAAGTTTGGCATTTATGCAATTGACGCGAAATTGCACGAGTTGGATGGAAGAAAGCAAGCGTATAAAGCGTTGTATTGTGTCGCTGAAATACAACAGATAGGGAAAGAATATTTGAAATAAATAGAGGCGTAGAGTCGAAGAAATCGCGCTAAAAAGCTGGGGGATATAAATCTGTCCGTCGATCCTCCATAAATTAAAATTACAAATATAGCTACATTATAAAGCTAGAAAAATATAAGCGTGCCGCATTCTACTTTGCAACTTATAATAAGAACAAAATTTGAAGTTTGATATCTCTCCAGTGCTTCGTTAGCGTCGCTCGACCGAGCTGGAAATTCAAATGCATCGTTCATTCGCGAATGATATTCCGAAGCATTATTTACCTAATATCGATATGTATTAATGAATATGATTTCCTAAAGGTTGAAAGATTTTTCTCAAGTTCTTTGTCAAGTTTTGCGATGTACTGAATTGTCTATCCCGCTCTCGTTTTGTTCTACTTGAAATTCGTTTTTTTTTCTACTTTCTTTGAGCTAATTAAATCTAATTTCAATCCACGTGAAAGCCCTCGTTCGTCTCGGCACGAGCGGAGCGCGCTCTGAGATGTCGATGTAACGCTAGTATCACAGTTTCTTTATATTCCATGTGCGTTTTTTGGGATTGCATTCGCATGTCGAAAAACCTTGACAGTTGAAACGCCGGCATCGGGGGCGGCGGTAGCGGTGGCGGCAGCGGTTGTCCGGCGGACTGATAATTATCGTAATTCTTGGTATGCAAAATTAAATGAGTTGGCTACTATCTTATAAGAGTTAGTCTCAAAAATAAATTAAATAATGCCATAAGAAAAGGAATGTAAAGCTGAGTAAATAAATAAATTGAGGAACAAACAAAAGTATGTGCAATAACAAATGGAAAATCACCTATAAATAAAGAGAAAATAAAAAATAATGACAACTACCTGTAATAAGAATGTTAAATCAAAGCGTACAGAAAAAGCAACAGTTATTATATATCGAGACAGTTCGTGGTATAGATATTTAAATGAATTGATTATTATCTAATTAAGATTATCTGAACGAGAGGGATATAGAATTAAATAAATTGCCTCGGTAACAATGGATAATTCAGACCATATAATATGAGGTTTGAATAACAATATATAATAATCATCTAACTTAGGATTTATTTAAAGCATATAAGTAAAGCATATTACAGTGTATCATAACATCGACAAGTACAACATTTATGGAATGTGGAAGTCAGGCGCAAACAAGGCAGGCCAACGAAAATAATGGGGGAAGTTGAAAAATAATATGACCTTCCGGCAACAAAATAGCAAATTCCATGTATAAATAACAAATATGAAAAGAAAAATTTTATGACTTATATAACATATTACTTCATTTGGTTTACGAGACGATATAATCTAGGCCTCGACAAAAAAAAAATACGTTAAAACTAAATTTGGGGAACCGCCAAGTAACAAGAGGATAAAGGTTCCCAAGAATGAATAATAAGTAATAATCTGTAATAGCGAGATAGTTTCAAGAACGAAAAAGCATTCAAAAGAAGTTTGGCGTTTTTTATTGCGGAATCTCAAGCTGTAAATAAAATGTATATTTTATTAATAATAAATAATTAATAAAATATCTAAAAAAATTATATACTTACAAAAGCTTTCTTTAAGCCAACTAGGGAAGTATCAATTAATTGCAGTTCCATTGGTAACACCTCTAACAGCTGCTTCATGTCATAAACTTCGGCTTTCAATTTTTTGATCGTCCTTTCCATCTTAAGAACATTATCCTAAAAAAAAATAGACAATGTTTTATTTATTAAATATATAGAGAAACCGCGCGAGACGAGAATATCAACGAGAATATCGACAGAGAGAAAGAGAGAGAGAGAGAGAGAGAGAGAGAGAGAGAGAGAACTCGCGTGAATTTAAACTGATAGCAATATAAAAGAGCTATCGGTTGAGTGTCGGTTACGACCATGGACATAGGAATATAAGGAATACAGAGTGAGCCTTGGGATGGCCGAACTGTGCAACCGTAGTGCGAGAATGACATGCAGTTTGGGAACGTCTGCCTCATTTTAATTATGTCATTGAAGTGAGGCAGACGTATCCAAGATGCATGGCTGTGACTCTCGCACAGCGGCTACCCCACACGTTCGTTTCTTACATATATATATTTTTAATAAAATTTTTTTGGTACTTACTCCTAATTGTGGATTGGAAACGTCTCTAGATTGGAAAAGATACGGTATGTTATCCTGCAAGCCAGAGGCAGTCATAAACAGCTCGTCTTCTTTATCCATCAAAACTTTAATTTGTTTTTCAATCAACTTCATGTGAAATTTTATTTCGTTTTTCATTTCGGAAACAGAACTTTCCATAATTCAGCCTGAAAACAAATTTATATACAATAATTATATTAAATAATTATATTCATATTTTATATTAAAAGATAATTAAAGAAGAAGAAGCTAGAGAAAAAATGCTTCTCCGGATGCTTTAAAAATTGAGTGCTTTATAAAAAACTTACTTTAAATGTCACAAAGTAACACAGAGATTGAACTAGCTGCCACTTCGACTGATGGCTATCAACTGAAATACTATTTGAAACTAATGTGTTAGATCAGAGAGGATCCGAGAGCGGACCATAGAACTTACATACATGGAAGGGGACTGCCCATAAGTTGAACAGAGAGATCCACGTCCGATATATCTCTCCTTCTTGATGTTGATTTTCGCAATTACGCATGCGCGGCCTGCGTGCGCACCTTTTTGTTTGGCCCAAAAGTGTGGTAGCGGGAACGACGCGCATGCACATTTTCAAAAATCAACTTGGTGAGAGAGAGAAGTATAGTTCTCTTTCTCACTTTCACTTGACGCTATTCGTATCCCATTCCCCTTCCATGTATGTAAGTTCTATGGAGCGGACATGCCGGCCTTTTGGCTGTAACGCTAAATCGTTCTTTAATCTCATTTCAAAATACATATGTATATGTATATGTAAAGTTCACTTTTCGAGTTTCGAAAAGTCCTCTACCATTTTGCAAAATTCGTAATCGTAAACCAGACATTAATTTTTGAAGATTGACGAATAAACGCGTATTCATTCGCTGAATGCAAGTGCGTGGCAAGATAAGTAGATTAAACCGAAAAAAAAGTCCTCTACTATTTTGTAAAATTCGCATTTATTAACGAGATATTAAGTTTATTCGCCGATCTTCAAAAATTAATATCTTGTTAACGATTGTGAATTTTGCAAAATGGTAGAAGACTTTTCGATTCAGTTTAGTCCGTTCTACCTACCCATGAACGGTCATACACCTATTATTATGAGACACCCAGTATACTCACCCGCAAAAAAACCGGACACCTAAATTTTAGCTCAAATTTTTAATATCTTTTACTAGCAATAACTCTATGAAATATCATCGTATTGAAATAAGCCTTGAACATTCCCTTTGATAACTAAGAAAATTAAAATTGAGTTTCAGAAATGCTTTATAAAATGGAGAACGTTGAAATCAGGCTTAAAAGATAGGAAAAAAAATTTTTTCTTTAAACTATTGCGCTGGTCAGGAAAGTCGGCTGTCTGGCTTAACAATTTTCAAGCGCATTGATTTCCTAACAAATCCATTCTTTGATCATTTTTCTACGATTTTTTTTTTTTGACAAAGTTATAGTTTTAAAAAAAGTGTTATAAAACGGGCTATTTTTTCTTATCCACTCAATACAACTCATAAACAAATTATTGTAGAAAATTTTATAAAAAAAATAAAAAGAAAACTTTAAATCTTAATTATTCTTAAAAATCAAATTCTTTTTAATCTCATATAAGTGCGTATACCTATGCGTGCGTGCGTGCGTGCGTGCCTGCTCGCACACACACTTAAAAGTAATGTGTATTGCCTCCTCTCGCATTTATTAATTTGTGTATTCGTTTGGGCATGTTGTTAATCAAAGTGTCTAATTGTTTCTTGTTCTAAATTATTCTATTCCTCTTGCGTGGCGGAGTGCTGCTAAAGTTTGAGCATTATGTTTCCTAACTTTTCGTTCTAACACATTCCATAAATGCTCTATAGGATTCATATCTGGACTCATAGCTGATTACAAGAAAAAATAGCCC